GGATTTCGAGGTACGATTTTCGATCAAACGAATATCGAGATTAGTTAAGTTTAGGTTTACAGAATTTTCCGGTTTGGTAATTCCGGTTAAAAATTACCTGGCGCCCATTTGGTTAAATTTTAGCAGGTTTATTAGGCTTAGGGGAAGTAGGGCGAAGGTAATGGGCATTTTCCACTCACCGTGAAAATGTCACGTTACACAACTGGTATACTTTAGTGTATGAACAGAGTCAGAGTAGAAATATCTTTTTTTTTCTAATTCTTTTATAATCAACTCCAGTTTCTATTATTCTCCATTTCCCCTCATTTCAGGACGTGTGCTCAATTACAACTGAATTTTACAGAGTATTCCTTCATTACGAACACAGCGAAAGAAGAACAATTGATATCATATTTTCCATCAACGTCGCATTCTATTATTTTAGGCCTTTTACAGGACTATGGGTTTTTCCAAATAATTTTGTATCTAATGATGATTTTTTCTTGTTTGCTTTCAGTTTTGGTCCGCATATGTGCCATGTGGCGCAGCCCAACTCAACGCGGTTCAGCTATCTCTTGAACAAATTGATGTTATACGCAGACTCGCAGAAATGAACGCACAACATCTGACTCTTGTCACATCAGTAAGGGGTGAGTATTTTTTACTAGGGGTGAAGAAGGGAGTAAATTTATAAAATCATTTCCTGAGACGTCCCAGGATGTGGAATGCTCTATAAATTTCCCGTTTTCTATGAAAGCTAATTGCAGGAAGAAGGTAGTAGAATTACCCATTAATTACAGGATAACGATATGAATTTGATTGAAAATATTTGTAGCAACGTTTATTAACCTTAGCAGTCGCACTAATGTTCCAGTATTGTTTGGGGGTTCCATGAAAAAGTCTCTTACGTTGCCCGCGCGCTACCGAGACCAAGATAGCAATACAATTCAAGTGATTAATACCTAAAATAACTGATGGAATCAATTAGAATCTGATATTTATTCATTTCGTTTTTTCATGCATCATACATCACAGTTGGTTTATTCGTTTTCACCTCATTTTAATTTTCCTGATTAGAGTATATCCATGATCACATATTTCCATAACTCACTGTGTAGTGTTAGATATAATGTGAATTGATATTCGTCGCTTTTTTACATTATCGGTAAAACAGTTGTTCTTGAAACTTCTTTCCAAACTCGGCTTTCCTTCCTTCTGCTCCACCACATTTTTCCTATCTCCTTCGATTACTTGATTTGACTGAGTAATCATGTAATCCTCAATAGGGTATCCCATTCGAAAAAAAATATCCAAATATCTTGGAGGGGGCCAAGCAATGAGAAAATCCTCCATTTAAAAATTAGGGCATCTTGAAGGGGACATTTGTGGACTTGTCATGTAGAGCTTGTAAGTTCATGCGTGCAAAATATGAGATCGTGGTTTTCATGGCCACCCCATTTTTTTACCCGATGTGACTTGTGTTGCGCCCAGCGCATTACGTTCGTTTAAAGTGACTGCCAAGGACTAACTTGACCATGATGAGGTACGTCAAAATAGAGGCCAAAAGAAGAAAGGATGGTATTGTGTCCAACCAAATAATGCAGTGTACCACGGTGGTTTTCGTAGGAATTAGAACAAAGGATCGCGCCAACAAACCTTCTACTGGTTGAATAGTGTGCTTTTATTAGTCGACAAGAAACTAGCATTGTTACAACAATCCGAGCTAACATCGCGCAAGTGGCTGGGAGAAGATCGGAGGAAAACGAAATTAAAGAAAATTTGTAACACTATTCCTGATCTCGTCCCGGAGATCAAGGATAGTTATTACCTTCGCCCGTTAACATGCTCGCATCCTAATTGTCCAACCGAATTAATGCCGCCATCAGCGAGGTTTTTATGGGCCAAAAGCTAACAAAAACAAAGAGAACCGAAACAAGGGCGGGGAGGTGGGGTGTCCTGCCTCAGCCGAGGTCCATAAACCACACAAATCCGAAAAATGTATCCTAAATCCGGAAAACAAGAGCACGAAAAGACAGGATGAATGGGGTTGGAACTTGTCCTCGCGACAACACAGAATCCGAAAAGTTATAAAATTCTAAAGGAGACACGAGCAACCGGTGATCGAAGACATAACCCGCGAGAAGCTAAAAGCTGGTGACAAACGCAACGTAAGCGGGAAGGCCTGGGGTTGCTCAGAATGCTAGATCGTGGAGAGCAGAATGTAATAATCCGTAAAAGATACACCGCCGACCAATCCAGGGCATTGGGAGCCTACCAAGGGCTCAAGAGAGAAAGCAGCCAGTGGGTCACATTGAGAGCTAGCCGAAGTGGCTCTGTCGAGTGAGTAGGCAATCTGGGCAGTATTTTCGATGCCCCCCATTCTCGACTACGGCTGGGTGGGCTGCCGTGGGCCGGGATGTGCTGCGCTCGCCGTCGCGTGGATATCCCTGACAATAGCTTCGCCTGGAGCGGGCTGAATTCAAACGTCGCCACTGACCTCTTTGGACAACACCTCCGAATGACCAGCCGTTGAATGCCCGCCCTATCTAACATGGAGCGCTCATACACCAGTATGATTCCTATGCTGAATGCCAGGAAGTTAAGTCCCATAGAGGAACTGGGAATGTTTTTACGTGTCCGACCTGTGCTGGTGCCTGCCTCCAGGCCTCCTAACTTCCAAGCACTCGGGCCCCAGTCCTCACACCCTTCGACAATTCGAGGAATTTCCGAGGAGGATCGAGGTAGCAGAAAACTTAGTTCAAGGGATTCAAAAATCGATTTTAATGTGAGGGATTTCCTAAAATCCCGTTACAAATTATCATCTGAAAAAAACTTGAGGTTTTCAGCAATTAAAAGGAGGAGGAAAGGAGACAAAAACGGCCACCACTCAATCGGATTGTTGGCAGTGTCAGTCAAAGCCACACCGGTGATGATTGCGAAAACGAAGGAATTGACTTCGGTCTTTCAGTGCAAAAATGTAAAGGTTGTTGTGGACACAAGATGGGTAGCTAGATGGGTCGAAATATTGAGCAAAAGGTGAACCGTTCAGGCGACTTGATCCTAACTAGTCACGAGAGGTGGTGTCCGGAGCAGAAAGGATCTGATAAATCTCACTAGTATTAAGTACTGAAGTACTGAATGGTTTTTAAATGAAGAATTAGCATCTAAAGAGAAAGATTCCCTTAAGTTTCCCGTTAAACAGATATTTTAATGTGTTACACTTTAGTTGAAATACAGACAAAGGCAAAAGTCTAAAATAAAACCGGTAGTACAGGCGGGATAAAGTGTAGGAAAGAATAGTGTAGATGTTGCTGATGTGTTTTTTAACTTACGGTGGCACAAATAGACGGCAGAAGGGAAGAAGCCATCCCCCGGCGTTTTTTCCACGTCGTTGATTCCGGAGAACTCCAAAAATATGCAACCTCCTCTAGCATTGATGGAGGTGACAGCGCTTACACACGCTTCTCTAGCGCTAGTGCAGATGATGAGGTAATGATTCCGGCGGTGCTGCTGATGATGACAGGCCTGAGTTGTCCATTCAAGATTAACCAGTTTGTTATTCACCAGTTTTGTGTTGCTAGGTATAAAAAATCGCTGAGCTACAGACTCGGGATGAACTCAGTTGTACGCTGAGTGATTGACCAGGTCTGTGCTGGCTGGTGAAAAAAGCCCTGAGCTGGACAGTCAGGATAAAGCCTGTCTCGGCAAGAAGAGCTGGTTCTGCAGAATTGGCTTCCCCTTGGAGGTTCAACTGGGCACCAGGCAGGAAACCACTTGAAGAAAAAAGACGACGATGCTGAATACGCCGGATTCTACTGAATACGTGCAGACGACTTCACGTAACGAGGAGAGCTGGGCAACCTGGTCTCATCGGACTCACACGGCTCCCGAGGTTCGTTAGTGAGAGCTAGGAGAGGGGCCTCATCGACTTGAAGAAACTATCTGCTCTAATTCAATTTTTCTCCTGCCTTGAGCTCTGGTTCCACCGATACCGGCAGAGGGCGATCGTGAGATCGAAGAGCAGTTTTCAACTTTTCATAAATTTGAATTATAAATATCATTTTTTCACTCGAAATAGGCAGCAATATTGGGCAGGCAATTTTTTTATGCTTTCATGTTGAGAAGTCACTCTCGACAATTATTTTCTGTTCAATAACTTATTTGGTATTCAATAAATACAATGTTTGTCGACAACTCTGATGGAGCAACAACTTCATCCAGTCATGTGAAGCAAATAATTCGTAGATAAATAGTAATTGTTGAGAAGGGCTGCTTGATTGTCATTACTAACCAGAGTACCTGAAATATACTTCTCCATTTTTCAACTAAAAATATAAAATCTAACACTTTCAGTTTTTGTGATACTGGAATGAAATGTGATATTCAAATGGATTTTGGAGAAATGCACAATATTCGGTTAATTTCAGTTCGGTTAGGGCCAGTCATAGATCTCTCGAGAGTAGCCCTGCTTCCTGGTAGGCGGATCTTAGAGAGTCAACTGGATGACGAGTAGGGTACCACCTTGAAGAGTCCGGATTAGAGATTAAAATAAAATGAAACTGACGTTCTGCTGTTACTCGCCTACGGCCGTTAGCATTTTGGTAGTTGGTCACAGAAGGTTTTTTTGAGGTGTGGTGGGCAGCATGTTCATATGTTTAACAATGTATTTAGAATCAATGTTTCCAGAAGGAGTACCCTCACTCTGGTATCACCCGTCCTTGCCCCAGGTGCGGGAGAAGTTTTCGATGGAACACTCGTGCATTGGCCTTTCTCTAATTAATGGTCTGCTAATGTCTAAAGTGAAATAGTTACGTATTTTTCTGACGTCCATGGACGATAAATTGGGGGGCTTCTTTAGTGATGGATAACTATTTTTCATTAGAAAAATGCCGTAGCAAATGGACCCTTTGAAGCTGAAAATGTCCCCTATTTGGATAACAAGAAATCATCGCGTGAATAGTGCCAATTCCTGGAAGCCTGATCCCGTCCAGCTCCCTGTCATCAATGGTGGAAGGGACTCGCGGTCGACGTGCCCCTGTTGGCCTGCCTTCTCTTGTGTCGCTATCTGGGAACCCGTGGTTGAGGTGGTCTATTTCTAGGTTCCTAATCTCGTTGATTCTCTGGAGCTGCTCCTATCTGCTGTTACCATTGGAGGTTTGTTTAAATGACTGGCTCCCTGCGTTCAATAGACAAAAGAAAATACGTGAAAAGGATCCCGTTAGAAACGGACCCGGAATCATATAGTCTTCATTGAGATTGTCACCAGGGGTATCCCTGCATCACGCCTCAAAATGCATATCGTCACCCCTGATATGATAGACCCCTCTCCCGATTTCGTGCTGCCCGTAAAGTTTTGGAGACAATGGAGCTTTTACCTCAAGTGCGGAAAATCTGAGGACGTGTTCGGTAGAACACCAATCCGTTAATAATAGCCCCTTCATGGCAGCTCGGTGTAATGTCATTCCACCAAACGGATTGTTATGAATCATTCTTCCAATTCATTCTTTCAATGGTAATTTTTGTTGAATTCAGGTTTTCCTATGAGAGTGTGACTCATTCTCATCCAGTCAGGTCGGCGGTCTCTCGGTAGCTGAAGAATGTCGCAGCTCAACGCATTTACTCTGAATGAAGTAATTCCAAAAATTATCAA